CTGTGTCCTATAAGACCATAAAACCGCCGTCCTGTAGCAGCTCCGCATGCTAATCTGGGCCTGTAAAAACTTGAGAAAGACGTGATCCAAATATAGTCCGCTTTAATGTTTGGTCCAACTCATGACGCCGTACTTTTGTCTTTAATAAAGTGCTGTTTCAAATTCCATGAATAAACCAAATCTCAAATGTAGGCCACAGAGCACCCTATGTCATCAAGTTAGCCAAATCAAGTGTGGGTCTATTAATAGTACTTTTTTTTTTCATTACGCAATCAGTGGATGACAGAGAATGCCAGAAGGCAGCAGCAAAGCATAATTTCTCTAAGATGGCTCCATCCAAAATTAACTTGTAGCCTAGTTTGATTTTGAAGAATTTAATGCTTCCTCTTTTAGTGCTCCCAGGAGAAACTTAGAGCGAATTCAACTGCATCAATCCGAGTGTCCAAAGGTGTACAACTCTAAATAAGAGCCTTGAACCTGGAGGATTTAAAATACTTCCTCCTTGGATCTCCAGTTAGTGTCTGTGGCTTTGATGTTTGGTTCAGAAAACAGCGTCTGTCCTTCGTGAGGAGGATGAGACCTGCTTTTTCCTGAACGTCACAGCCCAGACACTGAGTCTCCGCTCTGTTTTTTGCCAATAATATAAACGCAGCAGCAATAACAAATAGCTGTGTTAAATCATGTCCTCTGGCTTACTTTGTGAAATCTGAAAGTGATGGCTGCAGCCAGGGAGCAGGCTGGCTGACTGGTGGAGCCAGGCAGTAAAAATTTGGGATCCAGCACTAGCAAGACACTGCCCCCAAAACCTAACAGCTTCTCCTCCCCCGGAGTTGGCCTCGGCGCTCAGCTTTGATCGTCGCTTGCTTTTGGACGGGTTTGTGAGGTAGAAAACCGGAATTTTTGTGTTCTTACCAGTTTCTCCGCCGCTGCCTCAGTTTCCTCCAGCTGTGTGGTGGCCTGCGAGAGGAAAACAACGTGACTAACAGGCAAACATGTAGACACCGACAAAGTACGTTTTACTGTGGATTATTATGAAAACAATTTAAATGTCGTAATATGATCTGTTCCATGGCAAATGCATTTTAAGTGAGGCGTGGCAAATATATGACATTTTTTATGACCACAGAAATCTAGATGATTTTACCATAAAATATACACAATCATATCAAAATCAGGTCCCTGTCACAATATAGTATTCTTCTTAAAATCCAATCTAACAAAACTGTCTCATAAAGGTCTTTATCCTAGTGTGGGACCATAAAAATACACCCCAACCGATCACACAGAATCCTCAGCTACAACACGCCACATCTGTCCTCACTTTCAGCGCCTGCGGGACCAGGCTGTACCCGCGCAACGGGCCGCCGGCGCGCATCGCTGGTCACGCGCATCTGCTCGCGACCGGCGTCCCCACCGCGGCCGCGGCCAGCGCGCGGCTGCGGTGCGCGCCCCCACGCCCGCGCCTCGCCAGCCACCGCGTCACCGGCCTCTCACACACATCACGGCCGACAAGCGCTTGCCAGCGCGCGCGCAGGGTTACATACCTACCTCGGGCGCACCGCCCCCACCAAACGACAACTATACCCTACTCTTCCTTTAGAGAGACATAATCTGTGGACATTGAAATGGACACAACACTAGACAACATCGACAGCGCCAGAAGTAAACGTCTGTCAAACCACCAATGTGTGCATGAAATGCTCACCTGTAGCAGCGTCACTGCGCTGCCTTTTGGGGTTTGTGCGGCCTTACTCTTCCACCTCTTCCTGTTTACACCTCGGGAGAGAAGGAGAAGCAAGCTTCAAAAACAACAGCCTCATCGTGTTTTCTGAGTCTAGTGGCAGAGCCCGCTCTCAAACCTCTCACCTCACTTACTGCTACCGCTCTCCTCAGCTCCTCTTTTCTACCACGTCCCTCGGCTTCCGCGCTCATGACCCCAATCAGTTAATAGACTGTAGTCAACCCCCCCCCCCCCCCCATATTAGTTACAATATTACTTTTGTCGGCACCCCCCTAATCATTTGAAATCCAACAATCCAATCAGATCCTTGGATTCATTTTTGTAATGGTGGAGGAAACTCGTTTGGAAGATTCAGCAGACGGAAATATTCCATTACTTTGATTTTAACAAACAAAACTGGATTTTAATCGTCCTAAGTGTGAATTTTACTAATTACTGAAATAACTAATTAATCAGGGAGTATCAGAAAAGTTGTTGTACAGTAATAAATAAATAAATAATATTACTTTTGAAAAGAGAAATTAGTCATAATTTAAATTTTTTGAGTAACTAGCCTAACACTGCTGGGGAGGGACAACGTAGGGAAAAGAAACAAAGAAGAAAGAGGAGTGACAGAGAAAGGCCTGACCTCTGAAAAGAGATCTGAAAGATCATCAGCGATAGATAGGACTGTGCAGGAGTCAGTCTACCTGCTGTGTGAGAAGACCTCCAGTGCCACAGAGGGCGCCACTTCCAGAGGCTCCCAGGCCAGGTCCTTGTGGATTAGCTGCTGGGCCCCTCGGGTCAGAGACCGCAACGACTCCTGGGGAAAAAGAAACGCAGCCATGTTGGTTTACAAACAGCACTCACAAAAGGATCAGGTATGGTCAGACACAGGAGTTCTGTAATCCAAAGCACGAACCAACAAATCACAGCTCTGAATCATTCCTCCCCAACTGCTGCTGACAAACAGAGGCTTCACTTTAAAGCTGATGATAAAAAAATGTACGCTACTACATCACCAGCTCTCTCTGTCTGTCTCTCTCTCAGTATTAGGAGTTTAAAGCAGGAAGTTACCACAACCTAGAAATATTAACTCTATTCAGGTCAGATGACGACTGAGTGGGTGGAGAAGTTTAGCTGAGCACAGCGTCTGTCGTTTCTGAAGGACAAAACCACCTTTGAAGTCTACAACAGGCGAGTATTTGATCCTCAAAATATGACTTTCGGGTGGAATGTCACGTTACAGAGAAACACTGAGAATTGTCAGGTTTTGCTGACCTCTAATGGTAAGAAAGCTCATCTAGCTGCAGTAATATAATGTAGATAGAGAAGAAACTGGTGAAAAGGATGAGAGAAAAACATTTATAAAACATATGTATCTATTTATACCTTATTGTCGTCAATACTGGAAAATGTTTGTTAGAGATTCTATGCAAACAAGGAGGTAATGCCTACAGAAGCTTAACTGTGCTTTCCAACATGTTCACACACCTCAGAGGGAGTCCATGAGTCCAGCTGAGGGTCGAGCACAACATCACAGCAGAAGGCCCCAGAAGTGACTGCAGGGAAACATTATTAATAATTATCAACTACAACAAATGCCTGCAAACAATTCTATTTTAATAAGCCTAAATAATATATATACACTTTTTTTTTTACAGAAATATAACACCAACTACCTATTTTGCATCTGACAACAGGCCAGAAACTGCATCTACCTGAGCCCATCAGTCCTGACTCAACCCTTCCTGGCAGCGTAGTGCAGTGATTATCTAGCACAGATAAATTCTACCGGTATCTGCGGGCTGTTCAGGCTAAATCTGGAGACACAGAGAGAAGCTCCTCTACCTGGCACCTCTGGTGTGCTGAGTAGGTCCACAGTGAAGTCGTCCTTGAACGCAGTCTCCAGCACCTGGCCGAGCAAGGCAGCGCAGGAACGCCAGTAGGCCTGAGGGGAGACAAGAGGACACGCTGAATGTGTCACACTCTCTTCATGCTAGCACTTCTTGATCCTGCCTCATTTACACTGACCAGAGAGACATGCAGACAGAACGGCTGACAGGGGAGGATTTTGGAAGCTTGGAGACGGTTGAGGTATGGATTGAGCACAAAAGGTCTTAAAGGAAAGATGCTCAGAATATATCAGGACGGGGATAAAGAAGAAGCCAGTAGAAGGATGCCTGATTTCACAGTCCCTGTTGTAGGTGACTCACAACATGTGAATTTAAAGTGCAGATGGTGGCTCTAACACCTTCAACTGGAGTCACATACATTTGGATATAGATATATTGCTATATAGCAGACTGACCTACTTCAGCGTTTCTGTACATTTCCACAGGATACACACACTTCTCACTGTAAACCTCCATTACTTTTCCAAGACTTTCCATGACTAAGTAAAAGCACTTTATTACCCTCAAAATGCAATTACTTCCTAGTTAGTTGATTAAAAGGATAGATTCCCATTTTCCCAAGTCTATCTGACTACAATACCCACATAGCCCATATGTACATTGAAAGTAACTGTCCTTCCTGTCTGTACAGGCTGCAAAGTCCTCATTATGTGCAAAAATATGACACCCTGAAGCCTGAGTTAACTTAATCAAGAAGGTATTTTGATAAGTTCCCGCTCTCTGTTACTATTCCTCTAGCAAGACTGAGCCAGCACACTTTTAGAAGATACCTACTGGATTTGGCTAACTCGGACTGCCAACACCTTATATTAGCTCAGCTTGAAATTAAGAGTACATTTTACTGTGAATTTTGTCCACCACCACTTAGATTAGAAGCGCATTAGGAAGGGATCTCTTTGTGTACCGGAGGAACAATTACAGCAACAAATAACACTAGGGACACGTGAGTATTGTATTAAGATGCTAAAATAAATTTTAAGACCCTATCCTTTAAAGGTCAGACATGTAAAAGGTCTCATTAAAGCTGGAAGAAATAGTGAAACACACAATTCCCATTCTCTCTCGCTCCCTGTGAAAGTGCATGAAATACCATAACTTCCCTCATCAGCAGGAGACGCTTAAGGTCCAAAACAATCCCAAATCCCAAACAAGTACAATATATTTTTGTTGTGAAAGTACCTGGTTGACCAGCGTTGGCTCACTGCTTTTAAATGTGAGCAGAGTGAGCGAGCAGGAGCGGGTGAGGGGCTGGTGGAGAGGCCACGGTTCCCCGTCCACCAGGGCCAGCGCCGAGTTGGTCACGTGACGCTGTGTCAGGTCTGAGGGAAACACAGAGGAGCTCATCTGAGTGCAAAACGAGTATTTATTTATAGTGAAACATGCTGCAATGCATTATTAATATATGCAAATGAAGCTGAGGGGTTTCGTTTCTTCACAGATTGTGTTTTACAGGAGACGCTGACCTGAATTTGAAAATGGCAACATGAAGGATTAAATCTGGGGGAAATTAAATGAAAGAAACCAAGTTGTTTCCTCTACACATTTAATACATCCACACTCCCTTTCACTCACGTCTGGCACAGCTCAGCGGAGTGGACATTCCTCTGTTCATGATGAGCAGAGTACCATCCAACCCGGGGCCCTGCATGGACACCTCTATCTTCTCGATGCGAGGGTACAGAGCTCGCTGCCTGGCCTGCTCTCTGGAGAAGACGGCGTTGCGCTGGCTGCGCACCTCTGCGGTCAGGGGACGCACAACCGCTGCGGCAGACGCAAAGCCTGTGGAGGGAAAGGGACGGATGGATGGATTCAAGCAGAGGAGAGAGCAGATGATTCTCTGATAGCTAAACTTGGATATTCCAACATATATAGGATCCTGCTTCATGTTGACACCACTTTGTGTATGAAAACAGTTGTGAGGAGTTTTCAAAGTCTTAGAAATGAACCCCGATGATGCCATAGTGATGTCTTTAGGGTTATTCTAACAGGTAGTCTGTGTTTTAAAGTGGGGGTGTGGAGTTTGAGAGACATTAAAGATGCTACTGAGTTGCATTATGGGAAGTGTAGGCTCCAGTGTTTTGGCCGCTTGACTCATTTGATAGAAGTCAGGCTATTATGTATTTGCTTGGAATTTATAATTCATGTAAGCACATAGCACACTTTATCAATACTGACTATTATAAAAGAGGAGGTTTTAAGGTTTTCAGGTTTTCAGGTTTTCATAGCCTGGTTTCTACAATTATACAGGTAGTCAGTAGAAGTTTATCTCGGTTTTTTTTTTTTAAATCAAGCAGACTTAAACGATAATTTGAAGCTTTTCAGTGTGTGTATAACAGTAAAGAGTCCGGGGTTAGGAGGCAGTTTGCTTACCATGATTACCGCATTGTATTAAAGGGGTTTGCTACTGTATTTGAGACTTAAAACCCCAAGTTTATAAAACATAAGACATGTTACAATTTTTAAAGAACTTCTACACCACCTGTATTATGTCAAAGCTGGGCAATGGACCTTTTCCACGGCAGACATTTCAACTTGCCCGCGCAAGAAAAGCACAGGTGCATTTAATTAATAATGTCCTGCTTTATAGTGAATATTAACTCACTGCGACAACCAATGCTAACGGCTCAGAGTCGTCGCTAATGTTATCAATTACTTGTACTTTCCCTGCTAGGCCAAGTAAAGCTGTTTACTGTGAAAAGGTCTGTTTATCCAGACTCAACTGCAACATGAAGCCACAACCTGTCATTTCAACCTAGCGGGCTTTAGCTCACATGCTACCCGAATTCAATGTTACCCGGGTAACGGTTGCTAACAGTTACTCACGGCGTGGGAGAACTCGACACACGGTCCTGGTCGCCATTGTGAAGGGATTTCTACAGCTAACGTTACATACAAAAAAAAAAAACAGATAGATACAAAAGAGTAAATATATATATCTGTCTGCTACTTGTGTCTCTGACTGAAGGACGCCATGCCTGCTTGGTGTGCAACTAACATTTGGGTCCGGGCAGGAACTGAAGTCTCAAAAGGTTCCGTGTGACCTACAAGGACGAAGTGCTGTTCCAGTTTATGACAGCAGGTGTCGCTGTTGGTACTTATTTCAGTGAGGCTTATGTAAAAGCAGCCCTGCAACAATTATTGTATTGTGTGGACAGAAAGAAATCATCTTCTATATCAGCACCTCTTTCATCAAAACAGTCCCTAACAACATAATATATCACTGTATAATACTTCTTTGATATTCCTACAGGCACTTGTGATAAAGTTTTGATATTTATGGCGTCTCTACAATTTATTATGAATTACCTCAGTCTCTGTCTCCTAAGTGTCGAAAGACTGTTGCTCTTATGCTGATTGGATGGAATCCAAAGTTTATGATCTTGGCTCTAAAGTCTCACATGTCCCCAATTTCATCCTCTAATGGGCTCTAATGGCACTCAGAATTTGACAAATGCTTGTTGGATTTTTCAGGACCAGAATCAGCAGTAAGTGTTGGCACTAATGGCAGCAGCAGGAGCAGCAGGACGCAGAGCCAGGGAAGGCAGCCGCAAGAGCAAAACATAATAAATCATCTCGACGCGAGGCCGAGATGGAGCCAGATTACTGGTAAATAGTAAAGCGTAAAGGCTATTTTCACAATGAGTGCAAATTGTGTGACCTCTGGAGGTAAAATGAAAGGAGAGAGATGATTTCAGAGTAAGAAAAATATAGTTTCTTCACCATTAAATGCTTCACAACATGATTCATAATAAACACGCATGACACGTCTGTGCATAAAGATTTATTTTTTGTTGAAAATAAGTGTTTCTGACATTGAACCACTAACATATCTGATGTGACTTAAGATAAACGAACTATACACTGACACTGATGTTCACGTCATACAATGTAACAAGGCATTTGTATCATCTGTAAGGTGTAAAGACAAGTGTCCGTACGTGTCAATGACTGATTGATTGACTGATTGATACTGTCTCTTTGGGTGAGGTTGATTGTACTCAGTGTCAGTGTGACAGCACAACTTCATGCACACATCATCCACAGTATGTCAACATTTGGGATCTTCTGAATGAATTTCCCCAAAGGTGCGATTTCCTTTTTAGACATTCGTTCATCTATTCATTCATTCATAGTTAGGCGGGCCTGCTGTGAAATTAACTCCCAGTATGACTCCTTCACAGTGGTGTTACTTGACATCCGTTGAGATACTTGGTGACTGGTCTTTCGCTGCCAAAAAAAAAAGTCCCCCAAAAGTGCAAAAAGAAAAACACAAGCAGAAGAAAACAGGGCTGATAAAACTGCCGAGCACACTGCCATCCCTGCTTGGGCCTATGGCTGGTTTCCCAAAACAATTTAGCACTATGATCCTCATTGTCGATGGCTTTTATGATGGTTTTTGGCACCGTGCTGCCTTTGGGAAACCCCGAACATTTGCCTCTGTTGATCAGGAGGACGGTGGTGAGTGTGGGAGGTCAAGTGTTGTTTTTTTACTTTCAAGGGAAATCCACCCTGTGTCCGAGGAGTGCTGTATGTTGAAAATTAAATTTCCCCCTAAAGCCTGCTTTGTCCGCTTCAGTTAGTGATTTCCTACATTTCCCATGGATGCCTTTTGACCACAGCACAGGCCTAAACTGCTAGATACAGAAAGCAGGTAGAAACAGTTTTAGAAAGAGTGGATTTTTCCTATAAACCCCTCCATCTTCAAGCTATCTAACATGAATTCATTTGCATTCTAATTTCTAATTATCCTCCTATCCATCACCCCTCCGGCAGACCGGTCGACCGCTACTGTATGCTGCAGGCGGGGCAGCAGGTCTCTCTCCGGTCTGGCAGAGGGCAGAAGTCCATCTGCCTCACGATCTCGGCGAAAAGCTCATCCACCATGGTCTTGCTCTTGGCTGACGTCTCCATGAAGGGGCAGCCCCAGTCCTCGGCCAACGCCTGGCCCTCGCTGGGGGACACTTCCCTCTCCTCCTCTAGGTCTACCTTGTTACCCACCAGCACCACCGGCACCTGCTGATACCTGGAAATGAGAGAAAAAGTAACATCAGAGGAGTGTACAGCTGAAATCCGCTGCCTCCTCCCCCGCTGGGTGTGTTTTGTTACAGAATGAGACTACAGGAACTTCCTGGTACCTAAGGCAGAAAGCGGGAGGGAAAGAGAGACTAAACTCAGTGACAGCAAGTGTGTGTGTGTGTGTGCATTGTTGGCCTACATATTGTATTTGTTAGATGCTGAGACAATACAGATTTTGAACAATGCACAATGGAGCAAGAGGAGAGGGATAAACACTCAGTTCCAGCTTCCCAGGAGGCGTCCATCACTCCCCGGGTGTCTAATATCAGTAGGCGGTCCCATTAGAAAACTGTCATCACGAAAAGACACAACTGCCTCCTTTGAACGCTGTGATGCTCTATTTATTCCTGGATACATTATATATGCGTTAGCATGGCATGCGAGCTGTATAGTTAATGGCTTCCAATTCTTGTTTAAAATCGTTAGCTCTCCAACCCGCATCATTTCCATCATGCACTAAGCATGTCTTAGCGGATCAAAAGCTTTCTTCCCCAGCGTGTGGCTGACGATCCCAGTGCTCTTCCCTCGGAGCCATCAATACAAGGAAACCAGCCTGGAGAGAGCCATGGTATAGGTTATTGAATAATTGAATAAAGCTAATGTGCTGCTCTCACATGAGCGTTGGCCTCTTACCTTTAGAAACAACTTTTCTCCTTAATATTCAGCTTCAGTTCCTTTGTGTCCCCTTATTTAAATCAATTAACATGGAGACTTTTATCACTAAATATCAGGTACTACAGGTTTAATGTAGTAATAGGTAATTTATAGGTGTAAATGTCATTCAAATCACACAAAATACAGATGGAAGATGAATGAATAATAAATAAACCAATGCAGTTGTGGGAGATTTTGCGATCTGGAGTAGAAATTACAGTTCCAGTGAATGAATGGAGTGAGCAGGATATGGCTTCTGGGAAAATATGCTACTGTATGGAGGTGGCAGCAGAGATCACAGAGACAGATATCTCAAAATCTGGACAAATAAAATCAAAACTATCTCTGTGGATAGATACCACTAAATATAACAATACACTATGTGGCCAAACATATGTGAACATTGTACCAACGTTTTGAAGTTTTGGTCTGAGCTTTCCATGGTTTGGGCCCCTTACTTTGGATTTAAAGGGCCAGTCTGAAACCACTTGCCTCAACCAAGCATTTAAGGGCAATATTGTCTATAAGTGTCTATAATCAATATCTTAAATTAACAATTGATCAGATCGCTATTTCTATGTGAAAGGAGTTGCTCGTAGAAAAGGAAACCACAGAGTTATCATGCAACTCCTCAGTTCCCCTCAGCTCTATGGAGCTTTATAGTGTCTTTCAGCTCACGGTTTTGGTTTCACAGGCCACGACTTAACTGTTTTGGTTCATTCTTGTGACTCTCATAGCACAAGTTCTATACAAGGTCTACAAAAGGTCTAAAATCTATCTGCATGCAACATACCCACCCCAAAACGACAGACAGACAAAATTAGCGACAAAGCTAGCAACCAGCTGGTGAAGTAGTTGAGCATTTAGCAGCTAAAGAGTCAAATATATTCCTCTAGAGTTGACAGAGACCTACGGAGTGAATATTGGACTGAAATGTGACTCCAAATGAATGCTAATGTTGTTCCGTGTCTTTGGTTTTGGCTAACAAATGTGCCATATCAGCGTAAAAGGTAGTAGTTCTTCTACTGCCCCCAAGTGACCAAAAAGTTACTGCAGGTTTAATGCCCCAACATACACTGATATTTCAGACAATAGTGTGGCCACAGTTGTCTTACGTCAGTACACTAAGGTTGTTACAGGACAAAGACGTTCAGATACTAGATATTTCATTTCAGTTAGACGCCCTTCATGTTTTCTCTGATTAAATAACTACAGAATGTCAATTACAGAGGGTATATATTCTCACAACAGGT